CTCACTGCCGACATAAAACCCACCAGCCGCATCGACATTCCTCCAATCGCGAGTGCAACCCATACTTTACTGCTGCTGTTGTTGCATCGGCCCCGCATACATGCTGGAGCTTCCGCTGCCGCAACTCATCGGCGCGCTCGCCGTTGCCGCCGATGCTTTTCGTTCCTCCATCCCTTGTAAAATCACTCTTGTTTGGGACCGCCTGCCGCCATCCCCACAAACACGCTCCGAGCCCTCAGCTCCATAAAATGCTCTCATACCCTCTTCATCGCCGAACCAACACCTGGCCTAGCTAGGCTCCATTGACACGAGATATCGTGTTAGTGTGCACTGCCGCCCTCAGCGGTCTGTGGTGTTCAGACTGGGTGCTATGTTATCCCAGGAACAGTAGATGAAAAAGGACCATGTATTGTATATCCGTCACGCAAGCCCCTCAGGCAAGCTGGTAACCAACACGCAAGCCCCTCAGGCAAGTGCCGGGAGCACACCGCCGTGTGCTCACCCGGAGGCCCCGCACTTGGACCTCAACCGCATACATACCCATCACACACATAGTTCCCATACGCGTATCCCCCACAGAGAATGCACAGATCGGACTCATATCCAAACCACAAACAACATTAATTACCTTTCGTTTGAGCCCTTCGTCATCTAGCACGTCTATTTGCCACTCTTCTCCAGTCGCGGACGCTAGCGTGGAAAAACTAGTTCGCGGTGCCCTACCAACATGACATGATACGGTGTGCTCGCATAACGTTGACGATAAGCGGTATTCAGTGCCCACTGTACAGCCGGGACCAAATCTACCCCCGCCTTTCTTCCTGCAAGACCGCCTTCAAACATCGCACAATTTCTTTCATCATGCGTTCTACAGTTCCGTTACTCCGTGGCATATTTGCTACCGCGAAATTGTGCTTGACCTTCAGAGCTTGTTCGAGTTTGTTCATGATTTGATTCTTAAAGTGCGATGCGGTATCGCTGACCCACATCTGCGGAACATCCAAAGTCTTACACCAATTGAGCAAAATCTTGGCTGTTAGAGCGGCCGTGCATGACTCTGTTGGTTCTAACCACGCGAAGTTGCTAAGATCATCCATTACCACAAATATGTATTTGAATCCAACTCATTCATCCAAGCCATCGACATTCAACGGCCCACTCTTTCCAACATACACATAGTCAAAATGAATCACTTCGCCCGGCCTTGTACCATGCACTGTTTCCCCAAGCGGCCTTGGGATCATTTCACCCGTCCTCGAATCTACACAATGCAAGCACTGTTAAACAAACTATTTCACCTGGTTTTCCATGCGAAACCAACAGCAGTACTCTTGTAATCGTTGCAAAGTTGCCACCTTACCCCGATGTCCCGCGCCTTGCATATGAGCACAGACCATCAGACGTTGTTTTAGTTCTTTGGCATCTTCAGGAATCCACATGACCACGCGCCCCTTCACCTTGATTCGAAAAATTCCTTCGCCATCCTTTACGGCCTTTCCATGCGGCGCCATGAAAACCTCCGCTCCATGCGCCCTAGGTCTGACTTGTTCGCGCGCACTGTGCTGAACTCGACGAATAACCTCTTTCGACGGCATCGTGTCGTCAGGTTTGCTGGGCGCAAACCCAGCCACAGCCCTAACCTTCACTGCAGGAACGTTGACCCACCTCGACAGCAAGTCCCCCCAGCAGTTTCTCTCGCCAGAGATGTGCATGATGGAGTATTGGAACTGCGCCAACACCATCTTCCACTCATCTGAGAGCCCTTGAACGTACCACTGAGGAAGGCGAGCGGCTCGTGGGTCATATGTTCCACGGACACTCCGCGCTCCAGCTCTTCCTGCGGCACCTGCGTCAAGAAACTACCCCAATGCTCTTCAGACGCATCGGGAAACATCAGCACAGCAAAACCATCCTTCGGATGTGACAACGCCACCGCATGTGCCACCAAATCCTGTGCCGATATCCACGCCTCAACCATGCCGGCCGTCCACGCCTCGCACTTAATCGCACGATTAGGCGCAATACTTTTCGTTTGACGTGGTGCCGACGCCATGTTCACCTCCAGCAAGGTTCGGACAGGTTCCATCACCTCCGCCAGCCGCGACAACGATGTTCGCAACCATTTTACCGCTTGCAAAAATTGCATCAGTTTTCCCGCCGTCTCAGGCCTCCGCATGTCGGTCAATCCTTGAAGACGCTCAGGATCGCTGGCCACCTGTCCACCAGAGTATACCTTGCCACACCACCTGATCTTCGTGTCAAAGAAAGGACACTTGTGCGCAGCGGCGAAAATACCATTGTCTTGTAGACGCCAAAGTATCTCGTCCAGAGTGTTCAGCAGATCAGTCTCGTCGATACCCCACCAAATATCGTCATCGACCCAGACCGCGCAGTTTAATCCTTGCAGAATTTCCGTCATCACTGCTTGAAAGTATCCCGTCGCGTTTAGCACATCTTGCGGGACGCGTGTAGGCTCGAATAGCCCTTCCGGTGTGGCGATGGAAAATATTTCACGCGCGCTCTCCGCTAACGGCATCTGCCAGTACCCTTGCAACAGATCAAGTTTCCCGAAGCACGTCGCGCCCTGTAACATGGACACCTGCACCTCCTGGCTGGGCACGACGATTGGCACCTTTTCGCATTGCAGATTCGCGCGCAAGTAGTCATTACCAAGACGATACTCACCCTCACGGCCTGGCTTGGGCACCGCCATGGCCGGGCTCGCCCGCCCACACCGCCGGAATAGTCTTCACGACCATACCCATGGCAACCAGAGCCGCCATGCATCCAGACAGCCACGTAGCTTTTGCGGGGGAGTAAACACGCGCCTTCTCCTGGACATGTTGCACGCCAGGCTTGAGAGTCATCTTCAGTGGCTCCACCTTCGCCGGAGGGTCCCCTCGGAGCGCCCGACGAANCAAACACATCGCACCCTGTAACATGGACATCTGCGCCTCCTGGTTGGGCATGACGTTTGGCACCTTTTCGCATTGCAGATTCGCGCCGCGAGCAGTCACTAACAAGACGATACTCACCCACACGGCCTGGCTTGGGCACCGTCATGGCCGGGCTCGCCCACACCGCCTGAATAGTCTTCACGACCATACCCATGGCAACCAGAGCCGCCATGCATCCAGACAGCCACGTAGCTTTTGCGGGGGAGTAAACACGCGCCTTCTCCTGGACATGTTGCACGCCAGGCTTGAGAGTCATCTTCAGTGGCTCCACCTTCGCCGGAGGGTCCCCTCGGAGCGCCCGACGAAATGCGCCAAACCGCCTTCCAAGGATTTATTTCAGACGTGTCACACCCGTCGACGACAAGCCGTTTCCCGCGGCCTGTTGAACCGCGTGATCCAGAGCAACCTTGCGCTGGACCTCCTCTTCTTCCGGGGGCACAGACATGTTGGGTCCTCGAGACAACGCCCGAGTCACCGCTTCATCATGAACGTCCATCGGTTCTTTTTCGTTGTGGTGCTGCAGCGCCTACACCGCCACAGCAACACGCCGGCATTCATGGAACGCCGGGTTCTCCACCCCCTTTCCAGAGGCGAGAGCCTTCTGCCGCGCGCGAGCGGCAAGACTGCCGTATACGTCTATCCCCAACTTCTTCAGGGCTGCTCCTCCAAGGAGGATCGTGTCGTCCTCACCAGGCATGATGGAAAAGCGGAATGGCTCCAACACCACCGGATCCCACTCCGTGTGCAACGCCAACCGCAACGGACATGTCTTTTTTGTTGTAGGCACTAAACTGCCGTCTGCCATCCAGACATGATGCGCACCCTCCATAGGATGCGTGGTCGGAATACTAGAAAGCATGCTTGTAGCTTGCGCGCGACACGCTCAGACATTGACGTCGGATCTGACCCAGAGTCCCGCACCGCCCGCACCGGGCACACCGTAGACTCAGTTGCCCCCGGGGCAGACAAATCAGCCAAATACCACGTACCAGTGCGATCCACGTCGACTCCTTCGGCGTGCAGGCTCGAGACGCCATCCATGGTCTGGGACCGCCACGCTGGAACCGTAGTAGCGTCAGGCGACGCAGTAGTTCCTTGAACGGGAACAGGCAGCGGGGGAAGTGACGCTGCCACGCCATCGCCCCCACCTTGCTACTGCTCCTCCGGAAAGCGGCCCTACCTTGGACGATTGATCCCGGCTGCTGACCTTCTCGCTGCGGACTCGCCTGCTGCTGCTGATGAGGTCGCGCTGGTGACTTTTCAGACCCAGCCGCCGCCGGCGCAGGCTTGCCCCCAGACTTCTCAGACGAGGCCTTCTTGCAGTGTCGAGCGACATGGCCTGGCTTGTCGCATATCCAGCAGTTCCCAGAAGAGCCGGACTTTCCACCTTGCCCACCGCCGGAACGCTGTCCCCTTGGCTTGCCAGACGCACCACCACGGGCAGCCTTGTTAAACTTCTCACCAGCAGCACGACCTCCGCCACGGGCTTTACGCTCCGCGTCGACCTTCTCTATCTTCTTCCATCCAGTTGCCTCCTTGACCATGACAGCTAAGACACATCCAGGATCCTTCATCTAGTTTCCTCGGGGCTCCAGAGAGCTCTTGACGTTTGCCTTAAATTCTGGAGGCGAAATTCATTTCACGAGAGCCTTGCTGACTACGTTCGCCAACTCCTCGAGCCATTCGTCGTCGGCGTGGTGGTACAGCCGCGCCACATTCGGCTTCTCCGCCAGGTAGTATTCCAACGCGCTATGAACAGCATACACTCGTTCCAGCACCGAGACGCCCGGCTTCATGGTAGCCGCGCGGGTCACACCCGCCTTCGCCTCGACTGGCTTAACCAATGCCTCTCTCGAAATTTCGGCGTTAATCGACAGACCTTCCAGCAGCTCTGCCTCCGCCAGGTTTTTCTTGCGATCAAAGTAGACCTATAAACATAAGCATTTGCGGATGTGCACCAGCAGCAACTCGGATATCGACGTAGGTTGCCTTTGCACCACCCGACCTTCGTTGCCTCTCACCACCACGCGCTTATACTCCGCGTACCGAAGCAGAAACCGCCTCGATGCAGCAGCGGACAGCGTCTTCCCATATTCGGGCGGCTTCTGGGTGGCACCGAGCACCACCTCGCTCACCCTCACCCGAGTGGGACTCGCTTCGTCACCCGCGGCACTGCCGCCGCGTCCAGCACTTCTGCCTCGCCCTGCCATATCCTGACCACTCTGCTTGACCAGGACCCTTTTGTTTATCGTTGCAGCTCACCTCGCCACAATCGCAGCAGACTCTCACACCGACTCGATGCGAGGTACGTACTCCAGTCCACTGCTGTAGACTACACAGCTTGAAACCTCCGACCGATCTTCGAAGAGACCGCCAAATTAACTAAATAGTTAATATGGAACCCTCGCCCAATCGAGGGAGTTCGTTTGTGCTCTGAGGAGCCCTCGTGTTAGTTTTCTAACCTCAGAGATGCAAGACCGTTGGTTGACACACCACACAGCTCTTCATTATTCAGGACTGACCTCGACGAGGCAAGCCACATATTTATCGTCGAAGTCACGCCGCATTCCTCTTCATACACGTCGCACGCGAACCGACACTTATTCCTCTAGAACCAATCATGTAGTCTAGTCTATCATAGACCTTGTAAGCTGCCGCAATAGTTCTGTGTCCTACTTTATTCCACAAACCACGAACCAGGCTTCCGGCTTTCCGACAAACTTACGGCACCATCAACGAAGCATTGTTCGGTAAAAAGCAGTACTATGCCTAGATCGCCAGCAGGGGAAGCCAACACGGGCAGCAAGAAAAAGAGGGGTAGTATCAGCGGCGACGACTACTTCGAACCGGACGAAGAGGAGCTCGAAGAAGAACGTGGGTACACGTAAAGTCTCGTGAAGTATGGATACCTGCGCCTTGCCGGTGTAGTTGACAGCCCTTTGCGTGATTGAAACCTCCCACCGGGCGATTGGATCCACACGGTGGTGCCCGGTAGAAGATATAGATGGGGTGTGGAGTAGAACTCATCAACCGTTTAATGGACGATTTCACAAGATTTAGATTGCACAACTACACTAAATCTACGTAACTTCTGTGGAGACAGACGGACAGACGTGGTCGAAGGTGTCACACACGCTTGCAGACTACCGTAGCTCAAATACTACAGAGCGTTGGAGTACGACAAAAGAGTGAGGTGGTTTGGCAGTTTAGCGTTTAGCGTTGAACATGATAACACACGGCGCGGTATAGTCTACAGGAGCAAATTTGTTCAATAATAGCGAGTCGTATTGCACACACATGTACCCTTTACAATTGCGCAATCCCAGGTCAAGATGAGGCTGTCAGGCTCATCCAAGGCCTCTTCCGTGCAAAGCGAGCTCGATACGTCATAAGGTTTGTACTCGCGAATTTCTAATTTTGTACCGTAGTATGTTCTACATCACAACAAGCTGTAGACAGAGTACACGACGACAGGAAACGTACAAGGATGTACAGGATGGCGGTCTGTGCGTGTTCTGCTTTGATAGCTCCTTGCAGCGACGCACGACAACACCGAATCGGATACACCACACACGATTGCCTTACATATTTCGCAAACGTGGGCAACTTCGAATTGGTATCGGAACGCAAACGCCTTCCTCCCGCCCGTGGCAGGAGAAAGGCTAAGGCTTCAACGCCCAATCGGCGTTGCAACATGTGCAGGGAGAAAGTATCCGCACAGACTACTTGTCAAGCTGTTAAGAAGCACGATGACCACTAGACCACATACATCGTGCTTCTTAACAAAATTTCACGCTCGAGTCCGTTAAGCTTTCTTACAAGCCACGAACACGTCCCCCCAGGGTTGCCATCCCTGTGATCAGTGCTGTCTTGACCCAATGTACACAAGAGATTAATCGGCATTTGTTAACGAGTCTTAGACTTCATTGTCGGTAGGGGCGCAAATATTATCCTCGAGGATAAAATGTTCCAAGGGGAGATTCGAACGCCGAACATTAACTCTTGTTGTACCGCCGAGTGGGCAAGACAGCGCTGATCACAGGGATGGCAACCCTGGGGGGGCGTGTTCGTGGCTTGAAAGAAAGCTTGGCGGGCTCGGGCATTAACTATTGTTAGGAATCAAGCTGACTACAAGTGGTTTAGTGGTCATCGTGCTTGTTAACACAATCGATTCAAGTTAAGAAATCAATCTCGTTGTCGTCGAACCACCGCGGGCAGAGAAAGTACGACATCAAAGTGCGACTTGAATCACAAATTGTGTACGGTGTTGTGCGAGGTTTGAGAAAGGGTGGGTGCGGCGGGGACAAGTCCGCTGACCATTGTAGTATTGTTCTTAGGACAACCAGTGACGGTATAGTAATAATCGGATTGTTGGTATGTTTTCGTCCTTCGCCGGTTTAGATGGAGTCGACAGCTACACACTACCTGTGCGACGAGTATGACACGCCTCTCTCACAACAATCGTCTCCTTCAAGCCAACGGTGTGTTTCTCCTCTTATTCCTCTCGCCGGCATTCTTGATACAGGGAACTCATCAAGGCGAACTACGTGAAGGAAATCGACTCTCTCTCGGGAGAACCCATATACAGGAACAGGCGCACTGGCTATATTAGCCGCCGGAAGCCAGTGTTTCTCGGCAACGATGACCTGGAAACGCCGCGGTAAGACCAAAACAGCACAACGGCGTTGGAGGAATTAGTGGTGCTGTGGTAGTAGTTGCATGAAGATGTTCGTACCGAATATCGCAGGCAAAAGTGTGGGAGTAGATTAGGGTGATTGTCATACCTACACAAATCGTGGTACCACTACGGTGGAACACCTTGCTCTCACCAAGTTTTGAAACATGAACGCTTGGTTGGTGGTAGTGCCCGGATTTATTCGCTAGTTTGCTTGTGTTTTTATGCGTGGTCTCAAGGTTCGCGTCAAGTTTACACAGCAAAAAGGGGAATCAAGATTAAACACATGCATGCAGGTTGTGTTGAAGCCCCGTGGTGCGTCAGTTTCTCATACTACGCAACCCGCAACTAATATACACCGGACAGATATGCTCGCGAAAACTAGTACTGCCTCTAACTGCTAAATAATCAGGATCCCCCGTTCTGCTTAAAAGCGGAGTGAAGTAGATATTCTACCACCTGGCAGCAACCTTTTCTACCTCGATATTCGAGCAGGTATTTCGCCGCGTTGGACAACTACGATCCGGGAAAATCGGCCATACCACAGTTCGCCGTGATCATCACCAACCAGGAATTTGACTCCACAAAGATCCCCAACATCCCAGGGCAGGTACAAAAATGGTCGTGGCGGCTCGCAACAAGAGAGAGCGACAGATAGATGCATAGAATGAGCAAGAGCAAGAGAGAGACAAGACACAGAAGTTGAGCGAGAAGAAAAACAATACTACTTTCTTTGCCGTGGGACCTCATAAATGTTTCGATTCAGGGTAAATTGTCATCACTTTTCCTCCATTAATTGATTCCGTGACACCATGTATCTATCGTCTTCGCCTTCATAAGATATCTATTGGCGAACGGACAAATCGTATACGACCGTTCTGCCCCTGTTGTTCAGAGGCCGACTAGGAACGCTTGTGAAGACATTTCAATCACAGTGTTAATACTACAGTGGCGACATTGCCAACTGCCGTGCTGTCTACCTAACGTTGTTCGTGGTTGGAGCTACGGTACTAAACCTTCCAACGTAAGCACCATCTGATCATCAGCAGCATCCAACAACATGCCAGGCAGTGCGACAACGACACGCCTCGAAGTACGCCACTCAGCCCAGAGCTGAATCCCCATTCCTCCCCTCAGCCCCTACACCCGCCGCCTGGTCGCAGGTGCTCGCTGACCATGACGCTCTCCGAGAAACTCTGGAGCACCCTTACTTCTCCAAGTTTCAATCGGGTGAGAGGTCACCCGCGTTCTGAGCCGAGCTTACGACTGTTCTTACAACTTTTGTGAACAAAGGGTGGTTTGACAGGAATAGAAAATTGTGTTCCACGCTGTTCAATACCCCAGCCCCTACCCCTTACCCTACAACTCTCACGACCGGCAGTTGATAGGTCATGGTATTCCGGACGCTGGGATGGTGCATTGGCTTAGTGCTAGGCTTGGTGTCTTGCTTAATTAGGGCACACGCGCAGTGTTCTGACATGGAGACCACGGCACAACCCCTTGGTATGCCAATTGGTGAGCTGTACCTGGTCTGATCGAGCTGTTGCTGTTTCGACGGTCCACGTACAGGGGCTGAGCGAATGATAAGCAGCCTTCACGTACTGACGCGTGTCGCCCTCAAGCAAAGCGATTCAAGTACGCGGGGGGTTCACGGCATCGGATATAACATGCTCTCGTCCTACGTACCTTTCTGTATCCCCCTAGCGAGATATTATTCTTGACCACCCACGTAAATCACCGCCCGTTGGTGGGCCGTCTCTGCTGCCCCCCAGAGAACTGTTTCTTCGTCAAGAACGCCACGTCAGAGGTGATGACGGCAAGTTTAGCATCGGTGCAACGTCAGGTACGTCATGTCAGGCGTGGCGCTAGGCCATGTATGTTAGACCTTAAAGGGTGTGGACGTGACCCTTTACACAGGGTCATGCGCATGTACTCCCAACGATTCATTATTTTCACACTTGTGTGATTTTGTAAATGGCCAGGAATGCTGTGAGTACGGTGTAGTGGAAGCCGGCCGTGGGAGTGACGACTGACTGTTGTCACGGTCCACCGACCGTTTTCGACAACCACTCTTCCGCATTCAGGCAGTAAAATCGTAAGATGTATCAAATTGTGGTAAACTGCAAGGCGAGTACGACGCCGTGCGCGCACGTGACAGCGGAGAAAGTTGTCCCCATTCGAGGATTTGTCTCTCCTAGCGCTCTCGAACACATCCTGACGAGCTCGACGCCACTTGAGTGGAGTTGGAACAACTGGTTCAGTAAACGAATGACGTACACCGCCTTCTTACTCGTTGGCAGCCCAAATCCACTTCAACTTTCAGTTCCCCCCTAAGAACAAAAAGCTATAAATGTCTCTCATCATGTCTGTAAAACCCGTCGGTTCGTTCGGCAGCCGACATTATCAAGACCTGCTGCAGAAGGTTTGTAGTGTCTCTTTGATTGGTCACACACTAGTGTCAAATCAACCCAATGGAATTTATCTTTTGCATGCCTGGCAGCCAATTGGGGGTTCACATGCGGCGTTCTCTCTTTCTTTCCCTCAAGATCTCCTCGACCATGGCGAGGCTCAAGAAGGAATCTGAGAAGAGAGCCAAGGCTCTAAGAAAAGAACGTGAGGCGCGGGCGTGGGAGCGGAGAAACGCCCGGCGAGCCGAGAAGGCGGAGGAGGAAGGCGGCGGTGGCGTGTCGAACGTCGCCCGCCCCCGCGAGGAAGGAGAGAGGCAGGACGGAAACAAGGGCGAAGAAGACGTAGACTCAGAAGAAGAGGATAGAGACGAAGAGGAGGAAAAGGAGGAGGAGGAGTTTGACCCGGAAGAGGGATTGCTCCTGGTGTACGTGTGCACTCATGTGGCGGTGATATCCAGGGGAAAGGGGGTCGCCGGGACGTACTTGGTCGCCACGAATACGAGCTGGAAAAGCAGGGAGCACCTCGCTACTTCCGCCGTCCTGCTCGAGACCTTCGCCGCAGCCATAGACCGTATACAGGTACAGTGGGAGAGGTGGAACGCAGCGAGCTGTTCCATGTTGGACTGCTGTGTTCGACTGTGTAGTATTTTCCAGCGACGGGTTTGTATCTCGTATTGCTACGGCTGTGTGGGTACGGGCTCTTTTGGTACACCTGGCGTCGACTTGTTCTTGGACGTGCCAGAAAATGCACTAGAAGAGGGTACACTTGGCCGCGTGCTTGGATACTACTATGGCTGCTTTACCGTTCGGCCCTTACACAAGTACCGCTACCGTCGGCAGGCTACGGTGTTCCCGCATATTTTCACCGACCATTGTCCCCTTCGGCCACCCCAACATTTCGGTGTTCCCCTCTCCAAGCTTCGACACAAGGTACTGTTCCTCGACGTGGTTCATACGGAGCGGGAGCACGAGGGCTTCAAAACGCGTCACCTTTACCCCCCTCGGGACCTCTACGACAGCGCGGCGGTGCTTTGCGGTGCCGTGGTGGTCGGGTCCTGCCGAATCGGGCAGACGAGCGAGGTAGACTTGGATGTTCTCCGTAGAGAGACGGCCGGCTTCTGGGCTTCTGTCGAGCGTAGACACAACGGCGGTGGCAAGAACAAAGCCAGAGGTGGGGTGGGTGACAGCGAAACGGATCGCGCGACCAGCAGCGGGAGGAGTAGTTGTGGCAGCAGTGGCAGCGGCAGCGACTGCAGTAGTAGTGATTCCGAGGGAAGCACAAGTGGAGACGATGACGGCGATGACCACGACAGCGATGACAGCACGGATCAAGAGAGCGGCAGCGAGTCTGGTAAGAGTAGTGATGGGAGCTCCGATGGCAGCGGGAGCAAGAGTAGCGGTACCGGGGGCAACCGGAGCGCCGGTAGCAGTACAGGCAGCGGTAATGGTGGCCGTCGAAATCAACGGAGTTACAAACACGGGGGAGGAAGCAGCGATGAGGATGTTCGCAACGCTTTCAGGGGAAACAAGCGAGATAGAAGGAGGCATCGCCTGCAGATAAAAACGAGCGGGCGAGGAAAGCGGGTACCCCGATCCCTTGACAGCCTGGCCAGTGGAAACAATCGGGGCGAGACCAGCCCAAAATCTGGCACAGTCCGGAAGGGCGCACTGGCTTCAGGCGGCGGAAGCGGCATGGCCAAGGGTCAGCAGCACGAAGAGGGCGGCATGCGAGCCTGCGCGGCGGTGTACGACAGGGCGAACTACGAGGAAATCATGAGCGTCTTCGGCCGTGCGGTTCGCGACGGTCTCAAGGGACAATGCGTCGAGAACACCAAGCTCTCGCGCGTGCTCGTGGTTCACCTGTACGACTTCATCCGGCGAGAGTTTTCGCCTTTCGCGCACCCGCGGTTGTCGGTAGCCCGGGAGGAGGCGGAAGCGACGGGGGGTGGGGCCGGCGGCGGCGGCGGCGTCATTGGAGGCAATGGCAAGAGAGAGAAGGCGGCCGCGAAGAAAAGGGCGGCTGCCGAGAAGAAGGCAAAGAAGGAGGCCGACAGAGCCGAGGCAAAGAGGCGGGCCAGACTCGGGGCTAAAGCGCTAGCGGAAGAAGTCCGACAGGCGAAGGAGGCCGCGATGTTGAGGGAGGTAGAAGAAGAGAAACGGCGTCGAACGCAGGTGCATTGCCAGTCGTATGGGGAGCGCCAGGCGTCCGCGAATGGCTCGCCCCAGGGTGGGGTTGATGCTCACATCGCTATTTTTTGTCGCAATCGTGGGTCACCGGGCTCTTTGCTTCTTTCAGACGGGCACCTTTCGGGCTTCGTGGCCTAGTGAGTGTACAGGATACTCGTTGTTTTTTCCTGCGTGAGATGTCAGAGTCGTATGCGATAGCCACCCCCCGTGCCCATTGCCAAACAAGAACATCAAACCATTCAAGAAGCACCCAACACTCCCCACCCCCAATACGGTGCGTCCCGTACAACATCTGGAGAGCAGGTGCCGGTGATCGCGGGACCCAGCATCTCCGCGATCGCGAGAGCAACCACCTGCGCCTCACCGAGCCCGCCCCCACAGCCTCAAACCCCCTTCCCCATAGAGATCACCCGCACCTCCGTCCGCCTGGCTTGGGACGACCCACCCTTTCCGGGGGAGCCACCTTTCCTCTACGAACTCGAGGCAAAGGGTGACCTCAGGGGCAACTCGACATGGGCGTCTGTGTTTCCGCCCCGATACCCGTCGATTTCATCCCAGCCTGTTAACATTTCCCACCGGGTGCCAGGCCTCGGGCTGAGGTACAGGGTACGGGCATGCAACCACGGCGGGTGGGGGGCGGCCAGCGACCCTACAGAGGTGGTCACGACCAAGGCTTGGCTGGAGGACACGGGGGCGAACTCTGCTGCGCGCGCGATGAAGTCACTGGCACGGTAAGGGTGCGATTTTGCGGGAGTTCTGGTGCGGCCTTGAGTCGCAGGGTACGCGGAGCGGGTGGCGACAGGGGGTATAACCGGTTGTGACGCCTGTTACGCGGAGTATACACACGCCGTTGTACAACATCCTGAACATGCTTTCGTTGTATGGATCGCTTCAAAATTACCTGCCTCCCTTGCTGCACCCATCGCTCTTCCTGGTCTCAACCCATGTCAACACTCTTGTTCAGCGCTGGGGGGGCAAGGCTGGTTCTCGCAAGAATGCGCCGCTACTCGGCCTCACTTCTCAATCAAGAGAGTGGTTTCCACCAGCTGGTGGCGGAGTTCAACAAGGGGCTAGGCATTCCGCGAGCCTCGCTGGCCCAGGAGGTGGCTGTCGTGGTCGCCGATGCGATGGAGGCGTTTTCACAGGTAACCGTCACCCCCCTAGAACAAGAGATGGGGCTACGATTCAGAGCGGTTTGAGACCGTCTCCTAAGATGTTTTCTCAAATGCTTTGCTGTGTTCTTGTTGATATTCTGCTCCTGATGATTAACGGACCCCCGCACGTCCGGACGCCCCGACCGCGGCCACCGTCTCAGGTCCGAGGGATTCAAGACTCTGGCCTCCTGCTCCTCGGATGGGCTGCGAGGGGGAAAGGAGAAGCAGGGTCGGACGTTCTCTCGGCAGACCTGGTAGAGCGGTGTCTGGGTCTGGTCGCGACGGCGGAGAAGCTGCACTCGATGGACGTTGCCATCAAGGGCCACGCGATCTGGGCCAGGTCCCACCTCCTCCGACGGGGAGAGGGAAGGGGCGACGCGGGGGCCATTGTGGAGCATAGCGTGGCCAGTAGCGAGGACGGCGTGTGGGCGGGCGCATCATCCTTGGCGGAACAAGATGTGGGGCAGAGATGACAGATGGTACCACGCATGGTCGCAACATGCTTGGAGCTTCGCCCATGGTGATGCGCCGTGTATGCGAATGTTCGCAAGCAGTTGTCTTGCTTTTACTGTGTTGTGTAGTGCTGTCATAAATGCCACTGCAGGGATACTCCTAGCCGTGCATGATCTCCCCACGATGATATCGGCTCGACCTTCCTTTGGTGGAAACCTGTGACACAGGTGCAATAGATAGTGCGAGTCCAAATGTTGTCACTATGCCGGACCCTACGCTTGAACTCGCCCAGCCCTCCCCCTCCCCCACGCTGGCGCAGCATGTCCCAAACATCCCATCTCATTAACAACTCTCCAGTGGGCAACAAGCAGTGCCAGACTCCTTCGAACGCTTGCTCGGCGTCATCGTTCCAGCTAGTTCATTTGTTTTTTCCCGCGTGAGCTCTGTATTTGTACTGATTGCGTCGGTGGGTGGTGTTGATGCTGCCACCTTGCCGTCACAGTGCGCCTAGCGTCGACCACCTTCCTCCGCGTGGTACTGCCGCGACTCTTGCATCTGTCCCTAACAAAAAACACAGACGACAAAAGACATCGAGGCTTTACTCCTGATATGCGCTCTGCAAGTTACAGCGTGTGTCAAGTCACGGCAGTGGATCTGTATCATGAAGAAGCGTTTGGAAACTGTTCGCGTTTTTCTTGATTCGTGAATCACGACACATGGGGATTTGTGACGATCGCTCATACGAGCACCATCGTCCTGCCCCTGCGGTGGGACTGCTCTCTCCTTGCTGGATCAAGTTTACAACCATTCGTTGAGTCTTTTCGGGCTTGTCCTCGGCATCGTGCGTCGGCCACAGACACACAGCGCGTCGTAAAACAGTTGGAGAAGCCGACTCTGGGGGACATATCCTACCCACATTTCACCTTAGACCACCTTCCCAACCGACGCAGGTGTTGACCCGATCTGGGCACACGCCCTTTCGACGCTGCAACCAACGACGTTAAGTAACTTGCGACACGGGTATTCAGGTCCCATATCACACCTGAGTGGAAAGTCGAAGTTGCTCAGAGAGAACCTGCTCGAGCTCCCGAATCAGTCCCGAAACAAGAGACTCCCTCTCGCTTCTCGCCGCGGTCCTGTTTTCGAGATTCTCTGTCTCTCCGCCACCCGTTCCTCTCGGATCTGTAGCACCATGCCCATAGTCCGTTGGCCCGGTGCTCTCGGTGACAGGCAGCAGCTCCCGACGAAGTTGCCGCACCATGTGCAGCGCAGCCATCGCCGCAACAGGGGAGGCACCACCGCCGCCGCCGCCGCAGCAGCCGCTACCACGACAACGTTCACCGCAGGGCACGCCACCAACGGACGAGGATGCCGATGCCAACTCGCCCCTGTCCAGGACTCCTGCTACTTCCTCAGACGCCGTCGTCGCCCCGTGGCCAATGCCCAGGACAGACAGCAGCTTCACTCTGTGGAGGCGCGCGCAGACACCGGCGGCGAGCAGCTCCGCATCTGGATCTGAAGCTCGAGCTATCTTTGCGAGCCGCGTGCCGTCTATGGCCCCGTCACCACCACTACCACCACCCCGAAGGCGTTCTGCACAACCTCCGAGTCCTAGGTAGTCAAAGAACGCTCGCACGCCGACGGCGCCGAGGGCTTCCACTTGAACGAAACTATCGGGCGGGAGAGGTGCTGGAGCTGGTGCTACTGCTGCTGCAGTTTCATCGTGTCCCAGCATCTCATTTCGCCCTTGCGCTTCATTTTTCGCCGGGTCATCCGAAGAACGGCACGCGGCGGGTGGTGCCGGCCGACTCTCGCCCTGCGTCCCCACTGCTTCTGCGGCTCTCTTCCGCGCAAGGTGTCCACGCGCCGCCGATTCGATTCGGACGGCCGCTGCTTCCTCCTCGTCGTCGATATCGCCGCGACAAGCGAGACGACGGCCGGCCTCTTCTTCCCCCGCGGAGCCGCGGCTAGCTCTGGCCTCCCCCTCGCTTTCTAACGACGCCCTCGCTCGCATGCCTCGTACACGCGCCTGGATCGTCGCCGCGCTGGTATCTTGTTGTCCCCTTCGACGTTCGGTTTCGTTCGTCCCGGTTGCGGCCGAACTGTTCGGTTGCTGCGGGAGGATGCCCCCTTGTTTCGACGGCTGCCGTCCAGGCAGCGTAATTTTCCCAGGTTTCGGATAGCGAGGACATAGAAAATTTTGGAACGCCGGGGGGAAGGCCGGGGAAGTGGGAAATAGTCAGATCACCTAAATGCTTACGCTTTTGGCGCAGATGGGACGTAGCGTGGCGAGGTGAGGTGGAGCACGAGCGGTGGAACGAAACTGAGACCTCGTGTGGTGGGGCACGCGTGACATGACTCACACTCTGTTCTTTTGCTTTTCGCCGGCGCGCCTTCGCTTTCGCCGACATTTCCGCTGTAAGAGCGCCCTTCAGCATTCGCTTTCTCGCCACGTCCTGGCCGTGAGGTCGGGCGTTGGGTTGTTGTTATTAGAGACGTGTGGCTTGTAGTACGGCGCGAAAGCTGACATAGTAGTGCCTGCTTACCACTTAAACTTCACGATCCTTTGCGTTTTAGATACACCCACTTACGCCTGGGCACGCACAAGACATGAGCGACTGCACGGCGAATAACTCCCCTCATTTGCACGCCGTTCAAAATCAAGCGTCGTATCGTCCTCACGCGCGCATCGTAATGATCTGCTATCCAACCCCACGCAAACCAGGCCCGTGTTCATAGTATCTAATAAAGGCTCCGGGTGGGCAACGACCAACCGAATAAACAAAAACATTGCCCTCTCAGGAATCCGCAGGGCCCCGGTGAGTCGTCGGGCCTTCAGGTACAACGGTTCTGTGCACCGTTCCGCATTGGACGTTCATCGGCGATCCTCGGCCGGCTGAGTGGTTGGTCCAACTGCTCGGACGTGAAGCCGGTGAGACTATGTGTACGAGCGTGCGGTTGTCTTTTTGACTCCCCAGACCGCGGAAAAGAAAACGAAGAAAAATGTTAGCACTCTCGTGAACACCTCGGCGTGGTGGTTGGTCACGTTAGGAACACGGGTGGACTGCTCCTCACGAAGCTACACCCACCCCGGCCAAGTCGAACCCACCAGCCTCTCGGCGAACAGCCGCACTCGCACGGACGTGATCTCCCCGTCGAGCTCCTCGATCCCTTCCTCCAAGACGGCCGCGTCACCCCTTAGTCGGTACATCCTCTGGGTCATCTTCCGCTGCCCGGCCTCTCGCGCCGCTCCCCTCACCCGCGTCGCCCTTTCCCTGTCCTCTTCCCTCTCGGCCTCGAGAGAGCGCAACTTTTCTTCGAGGTCCTGGATGGTTCCCTGGGCGCCCGCGAGCTGGGTGTTCATCGCTCGAATGCGATCCCGAATATTGGGTCTTCGCCGACGACCACTACCGTCACCGAACGCGTTGTTGCCGGACTTGAGAGCGGCGTTGTTACCGCAACCGCCGCCGAACTCTACGAAGCCGTCATTTCTAACCAAAGGTGCGGGTTGTTTCTCGAGTAGGATGAAGTCCTGCGCGTCCCACAGCCTTGCTAGTTGATCGCCGCTGTTGGCGCTGTTGAGGCCGATGTCGGAGAGGGGCCTGTTGGCGGTCTTGGCGGAATCCTTGGGGGGTAAGAAGAGGGGGTTTCGACGAGTCGGGAAGCCGAGCCAGGCGGTCGCTTCGGGGATACCATCGGCGAAATCAGCGTCCTGTGCCAATGCTGTGCGAAAGGACCGCATGCCTTCCCCCTGCAGTTGAGAATCGGTGATCATTCGGTAGATCATTCCATCACCCCGCCCCACCACAGAGAGAATGGGGAAAGGGAGAGAGAGAGAGAGAGAGAGAGAGAGAGAGAGAGAGAGAGAGAGAGAGAGAG